CGCTTCGACCGCGCAGCCAAGAGCCCGCGAGAGCAGCGAGAGGTTTGCGCTCACGTGCCAGTCTGCCAAGCGATCACTCATATTTAAGTATCTGTTTGGAGGACAGGAAAGCGCTTCCTAAATCCACCTGCCCTCATTCTTCTTTAAAGAGATGACAACGTGAGTGAAAGACTTCCAATTACATTAAATCTTTGTAAACATAGATTTGTTGCAAAGTGGGAGCCTGAGAGAAGGGCGGGGCGATGGAGGGGAGGTACGCATAAGTGCGTGGAGACATATTGGGGAGGGTGCCTGTGGGAGGGGAGCTGCTCTTTATTTTCTGTTTTCAAGAAGAAAGTGAGAGAATGCATGCAGGGGCCTGCAGGAGGGCCCCTCTTGACTGTCACGTGTCACCTGGATCCCAAGATGGAACTTTTCCCAGTGAGGTGAGGCTGTTCCCACCAACACCTTATGGGGTGATGTTTCCAAGCCCACTGATGAGTGCGTCAAGTTCCTCTAGTCTATTTCCAAACCTTTCAGCCCCAAGCCTTGGCCTTTCCTGAGAGTGGGGGAGATTAGTCATTCTTACTAGTGCCCTGGAATCTGCCTACAGGTCCATGACTAAGGGGTCCTTGGGTCACAGCTCCTTGTGGGGATGGCACCCCGGCCTGAGGCCGTGCTCCTGGTGCCTGGAAGAAGGTTCCCCTCAGTCTCCCTCCCACTTACCCCCCCCCCCATTTCCCTTCTTAGCGGCACTCTAAGGAGTGCAGCCAGTACAGTCCTGGCTCGTACTCCTTTTCTAGTGCATTTAACTTTTGTGAGTTGTGTAAACTGAGTTCATAGCACAACTGGCAAACTGGCTTCAGAAACCTGACAGCCATCATGACCTTCCTTTTCTGCTACAGTAGTGAGGGAGGGAGACAGAAAAGGGAGGGGAAAAAATGAAAAAGCAACGAAAAAGCCCTCATTTTCCCTTAGTGTCAGAAGTATCAGACTGATTTAAAAACTGAGCAGGAATGCCAAAACTGCTTTCCCTCTCAGTTAAAAAAAGGAAAAAAAAATTTGGAAGCTCCTCAGAGTGTGGAAAGGTACACCATCACACCTGGAAAGATGAATTTATTGTTGCCAGTCTCACTCAGCGTGAGAGGCAGGAGCAAAAGGCCCGGCCCTAATGGAACACCCTCCTGGGCGCACCTCTGCCAGGGTGCGCTCTGGGGCCGGGCGCCCCACCCCATGTGGGGCAGACAGCTTGCCTCCTTCCTGCACAAACCAAACGTGTGACGCTGCTGCTGGGGCTGGGGCTGGGGCTGGGGCTGGGGCTGGGGC